GAGAGTAGTCTCGGAATCGGTCGTCTCCACAGTAGTAGCAACAACACATCGGTCACAGCAGCTGTGCTGACCGGTAGAGGGGACGTGGGAGTAGTAGGCTCAACAGGAGCATCGATCGTAGTAGTGACAGCCGCAGTCTCAGTAGCGACCGGGTTGGTGGCATCATAATCATCCTTGTCTCTACTGCGAGCTTCCCCGGCTGCCGTCGTGATGGTGACCCCGTCAGTCACAGGGGCTGCAGTAGTAGCAACAACCTGATCGGTCACAGCAGCTGTGCTGGCCGGTTGAGGGGTCGTGATAGTAGTAGTGGGCTCAACAGGAGCATCGATCCTAGTGGTAGTCGCAGTCTCAGTAGCGACCGGGGTGGTAGCATCAGAATCATCCTTGTCTCTTCCCGGAGCTTCCCCAGCTGCCGTGGTGATAGTCACCTCGCCAGTCACAGGAGCCGCAGTAGTGACAGCGACCTCATCGGTCACAGCAGCTGTGCTGACCGGGAAAGGGGACGTTATAGTAGTAGTAGGCTCAACAGGAGCACCGATCGTAGTCGTGACAGTCGCAACCTCCGTAGCGACCTGGGTGGTAGCATCAGAGTCATCCTTGTCTCTACCGGGAGCCTCCCCAGCTGCCGTGCTGATGGTCACTTCGCCAGTCACAGGAGCTGCAGTAGTGACAGCGACCTCATCGGTCACAGCAGCTGTGCTGACCGGGAAAGGGGACGTTATAGTAGTAGTAGGCTCAACAGGAGCACCGATCGTAGTCGTGACAGTCGCAGCCTCCGTAGCGACCTGGGTGGTAGCATCAGAGTCATCCTTGTCTCTTCCCGGAACTTCCCCAGCTGCCGTGGTGATAGTCACCTCGCCAGTCACAGGAGCCGCAGTAGTGACAGCGACCTCATCGGTCACAGCGGGTGTACTGACCGGTAGAGGGGACGTCATAATAGTAGTAGGCTCAACAGAAGCACTGATCGTGGTAGCCACAGTCGCAGTCTCAGTAGCGATCGGGGTGGTAGCATCAGAATCATCCTTGTCTCTACCGGGAGCTTCCCCAGCTGCCGTGGTGATGGTGACTTCGCCAGTCACAGGAGCTGCAGTAGTATCAACAATCTCATCGGTCACAGCAGCTGTGCTGACCGGAACGTTATAGTAGTAGTAGTAGTAGTAGTAGTAGGCTCAACAGGAGCACCGATCGTAGTCGTGACAGTCGCAGCCTCCGTAGCGACCTGGGTGGTAGCATCAGAATCATCCTTGTCTCTTCCCGGAGCCTCCCCAGCTGCCGTGCTGATGGTCACTTCGCCAGTCACAGGAGCTGCAGTAGTGACAGCGACCTCATCGGTCACAGCAGCTGTGCTGACCGGGAAAGGGGACGTTATAGTAGTAGTAAGCTCAACAGGAGCACCGATCGTAGTCGTGACAGTCGCAGCCTCCGTAGGGACCTTGGTGGTAGCAACAGAGTCATCCTTGTCTCTACCGGGAGCTTCCCCAGCTGCCGTGCTGATGATCACTTCGCCAGTCACAGGAGGTGCAGAAGTGACAGCCACCTCATCGGTCATAGCAGCTGTACTGGCCGCCACTGTGGCATCGACAGTAGCTTCAGAACCAGTCGTACTCGTTGCTTCGGGAGCTGCTGTCGTACCTTCTTCGCTTGTAGCGGCCTCAGTGACCTCATCCGTGACTGCAGCAGAGGACGTGGAACCTCGGAGAGCCTCAGTCGGTCCACTCGTGCCGCAGAAGCACGGGGCAACCGAGCCGAAGCAGGTGCTCGGCGTCTTCCAATACTTACAATATGACCCAGGGTAAGTTGTGGCACAGTCTGTGTCGCAGTCATTGGCGTTGCCCGTCACGGAATTGATGTCCTGGAAAGCACAGAGAGCGACGAAAACAGCGGAGAAAGTCCGTGAAGCCATCATAGATAAATGCAAATGAGCGGCGGTAAGCTGAGACTAACTGGATGACTAAGAAGGCACATT